AGTCTGACACTCCCTTCTGGACTCCACTGGTGCTGCACACACCACGCCACACACCTGTACACATAAAATATATTAGAAGGAACTTTAAAAATGTAAGCCCATCTCTTCTATTTTCAGTTCTAACGATGCCCATCTGAGGTCCAAAGTAACAGATCCAATGCCCTGAGGTCCAAGGAAACATGACTTGTTTTAGGTAAAGTGAGCAACCTCCAATCTAGTCCAGACTCTCATGCTGGCTAGGGCCTGATGTGGAGGTGAAGTGTGGAAGCCTGACATGAGCCTGTGAGGTAAGCTGAGTGGCAGGAGGTTGGGCCTGGGCGTGCTTCCCTGATAGGCAGGAGCTAGGTATGCAGATGGGAGGGAGAGAGGCAGGTCAGCTCTCAGGAACCCCTACCCTGCCAGAAGGACCAGCCAGCCTTGGGCACAAGTCTCTGTTACCCCACCCACCCACTCTGGGCCCTGGTGGACCCATCAAGTCCATTCTCCAGCTTGAACACATGGTAGTCAGTGTCTGGGGAGGCATCCATAATGGTAGTGATCACTGGGCCTTGGTGTAGCCTGTGTTAACTTCTCTTTCTAGAACATTCCATATTATATATTTCTACCCCCATTAAAATCAATGCTGGAAATTTTTTAAGATTTATTTATTTTGTGTATGCAAATGCTTTATCTTCATGTACACCTGCATACTAGAAGAGAGCATCCAATCTCACTAGAGATGGTTGGGAGCCACCATGAGGGTGCTGGGAATTGAAATCAGGACCTCTGGAAGAGCAGCCAGTGCTCTTAACCTCTGAGCCATCTCTCCAGCCCCCCAGTGCTGTAAATTTTTATTCTAAGGCATCAAATTGGAATGGAGGAATGTTGGGGGAGGGAGGGGAGAGAAAGAGTGCCTTGCAAACAGAGACAGCATCTTTTGGTAACCATGGTGACCAGCATGGTGACAAGGATGTTCTGTGTGGAGTTTTCCAGCCTGGGGACCAAGTGGGTGGTGCGTGAGCATCTGTCTTGTGATGGAAGGAGGTGACCTGGGGTACTTTTATGGGCATGAGACTCCCCCGAAGGCTCATGGCGGGGTCAGCCTTGGTCTTGACTCAGGGGTGGGGGGTGGTTCAGAGTGGGACTGTGGGGTCAGGAGGCTCCCATATTGTCAATGGAGGCGTCAGTAGTCAGCTCATCCTTGATGACTCTGGGAGGTGGAAGCTCAGGACATGTGGCCTAGGCTTGGGGGCTTCCCTTGTCACTCCCTGTCTGTCTCTCTGTGATTCTGTTTGCTGTCTAAAAAAAGAACTAATGGAAGCCTTCTGTCTAGTTGACAGTGCTGCATTGAGTTCTACATTCTGGCTCTGAGAATGTTCTAGAATGATGCAAAATGATGCTCCAGGGAAGGTGAGGAGAGGGGTACAAAGAGCTGACTCTGCTGAACAGCTGTGTGACTTCCTGTAAATGAGCCTATCTTGGTGGTGCAGGCCTTTAATTCCATTACTCAGGAGGCAGAGGCTGGTGAATCTGTGAGTTCCAGGACAGCCTGGTCTACTTAGTAAGTTGCAGGCCAGCCAGGGCTATGCAATGAGAACCTGTCGTAAAATAATTAAATTAAAAATAAAGTTTAAAAAATCTGGTGATGAGGAAAATGCACACACGGCTCACACATCCAGAGAAAGCCTGGCAGATGGACATGTCACCCAGTTTACTTCAGTGCTGTCTAAGTGGCCATCAAGATGGCTCAGCAGGAAAAGGTGATTATCTCTAAGTCTGATAACCCGGGTTCAATCCCCTGGAGCCACACAGTAGACAGAGGGAATAGACTTCTACTCATTAACATCTGACCATCCCAGGAGCTCATGTACACATACATACATACATGAAATAAATGTTTTTTTTTAATTAAAAAGACTGTTATGAACTGCAGACTCTGTGTCCCCAGCCCTTCAGGTGGGGGTGGAGGTCCTAGCCAGGCAGCAGGGATCAGAGAGACCCAGCTTGACAGGTGCAGGGATACCATCAGGCAAGTGGCCCTCTGTTAACCCTGAAGAGGGCTTCACAGGTGGAGGCAGACAATTAATCAGTGCCTGGTGTCAGTGACAGAACCGTTGTGGGGTGAGCGAGATGTGGGGCAGCTAATCCCCCTGGTGTCTGGTTGTCTGAACACCTGCCACTGCCATAAGGGGGGGCTCTGTAGAATCAGGGTTCCAGGGTGAGAATAGGAGGTGAACAAAGAGGCAGATATAATATGGAGGCCAGAGGCAATAAGGCAACGGGGATTGGGAGGCTAGATTGGAGATGGAGAGACAGAAAGATGAAAGACATGGGGGGAGGGAGTGGGAAGACAGAGACGGGGGTAGAGAGACAGAAAGGCAGATATAGAAACAAAAAGAGAGATGGCTGGAGAGGGAGGAAGATGGAGATTAGGAATACAGACAGGAGAGAGAAGAGTGATCCTATAGCCCGGCTGGCCTCAGTTCACTGTGTAGCCAAGGATGACTTTCCACTGCTGGTCCTTCTGCCTCGGTCTCCTGAGTACTGGGATGACAGGCGTGTACCCCACGCCCAGTTTCCATGATGGTGATGGGACCCAAGGCTTTGTGCTCGCTGGCTGAGCGCTGTACCCACAGGGCTCCATCCCAAACCTTTCTCTTTGTCAATAGGTTCTCCCAGGTCCATTGTTTCTTCTTTCTTTATTTTATTTTACATTTTACGTATTTATTGTGTATGCATAAGCGTGCCATGGTGCACATTCGTAGGTCAGAGGACAACTTATAGGCGTCGTTCTCTCTGTCATCATGTGGGCTCCAGGGGTTAGACTCAGGTCATCAGAGTTAGAGGCAAGCCTCTTTACCTACTGAGCCATCTTGCTGGCCCTCAGATGTCTCTTAAATTACTGAAAACTGACTACCATAGTCCCCACTCCTTACTGGCTCCTCTTTAGCCTCTCAGAGCTGTCAGGATGACTGTTGCTTTGTCTGTGTCCACAGCAATCCTGGGCAGAGCCAGTCTCCCCCCAGTCCCTCCCCTTTCCTTGCCAGCACAGCCCAGGCCAGGGTCCACTCCTTTTTTTTCTTTTTTAAATTTTTTTAAACTTTGTTTTATGTGCATTGGTGTGATAGTGTCAGATCCCCAGGAATTGCCATGTGGGTGCTGGGAATTGAACCCAGGTCCTCCGGAAGAGCAGCCAGTGCTCTTAACCACTGAGCCATCTCTCCACACACACCCCCACACACTCCTTTTTTTTTTTCCAAGACAGGGTTTTTCTGCGTAGCCCTAGCTGTCCTGGAACTCACTATTTAGACCAGGCTGGCCTCAAACAGAGAGATCCGCCTGCCTCTGCTTCCAGAGTGCTGTTATTAAAAGCGTGCACCACCACCTCCCAACCCCCAGGCTCCACTCTTTTTTTTTTAAATTTATTATGTAGACAACATTCTGCTTCCACTAGAAGAGGGCACCAGATCTCATAACGGATGGCTGTGAGCCACCATGTGGGTGCTGGGAATTGAACTCAGGACCTCTGGAAGAGCAGTCGGCGCTCTTAACCTCTGCAGGCTCCACTCTTAAGTTGCTACTTTGATTTACTTTTATTACTTGTGTGTGGAGGTCAGATATCAGACTCAGCATTTGCTTTTGTTGCTTTCCTTCTCCTTCTTTGTTGTTGAATTGGAGTCTCACTGTGTAGCCCAGGCTGATGTGGAACTCACAGGGATCCTCCTGCCTCCATGTTGCTTGGGCTAACTATGTGGCCACCAGGGCTGGGCGTTGGTGGCGCACGCCTTTAATCCCAGCACTCAGGAGGCAGAGGCAGGCGGATCTCTGTGAGTTCGAGGCCAGCCTGGTCTCCAGAGTGCCAGGATAGGCTCCAAAGCTACACAGAGAAACCCTGTCTCGAAAAAGGAAAAAACAAAACAAACAAACAAAAAAACTATATGGCCACCATGCCCAGTTCCATCTTTCGCTGGGCATCTCCCTGGACCTGTAGCTGGCTGATCCAGCTAAGCCGATGGACAGTGAAGTGAGTCTCGGGGCCTCTCCTGCCTCCAGCTCCTCAGCACTGGGATCAGACAAAAACACAGCAGCACCATGACTACTTTTGACATGGGTGCTGGGGCGGGGCAGGGGTGATGGTGGATCTGCACTCAGGTCCTTGGGCTTGGTGGCAAGCATCTTTCCCACCGAGCCATCTCGCCGACCCCTCATGTTGGACTCAGCAGTAAAGGACCAATGTGGACTGTAGTTAAGTCATTGTGGGGACTTGAGGGGGGTGGGGGGAACGTTGTTGGAGTGCTATGGTTGTGAGATTCCAGCTGATGCTGCTCAGCCATTTTGGTCAGTGCAGACAGTGTCTGCTGAGACAGACTGTCTTCCAAGATAGCATGTCTCCTCCGAGGAACAATTCCAGGAAAGAGACACTGCAGGTCTGCATAGTCCTCTGAAGCTCGGACAAGCTTCTCATTCCCAAACCCCTCACTAGCCCCTATAAAGGGCCACAGCTGGCTTTTTTCCCTCTCAGACCCCTAAATTTCCTGTGAGAGGCTGCCCTTAACTGTGTGTGCAACCAACACAGTGTCATTTGTCCAGGTCTCTATGGTCTCATTCCTGTCTCTAGGTCGGAGTGTGGAGGGCTCCATGCAAGCCAGTAGAACACTCTACCACTGAGCCACAGCCTCAACTGTCATCCACTCTAACCCTTGGGTAGGAATTGGTAGCTCCACGGCCACGTCATCTGATGAAGACACAGACCACAGAGATGTTAGGGTTGTTTTGTTTAGTTTAAGTCTAGTTATTTTTATTTATTCTATGTGCATTGGTGTTTTGCCTGCATGTACATTTGTGTGAGGGTGTTGGATCTTGGAGTTACAGACAGTTGTGAGCTGCCATGCGGGTCCTCTAGAAGAGCAGTCAGTGTTCTAACCACTGAGCCATCTCTCCAGCCCCTGATGTTAGGTTTTTTTTTCCCCTAATGATTTGTTTATTCTTATTTTATGTGCATTGGTGTTTTCCTTTCATGTGTGAGGATGTCAGATTCCCTGGAACTAGTTGGTGGCCGCCATGTGGGTGTTGGGAATTGAACCCGGGTCCTCTGAAAGAACAACCAGTGCTCTTAACCACTGAGCCATCTCTCCAGCCTTTTAGGGTTATGACACACAGCTCTGAGGAAGCAGAAGGGGAATTCTTGGATCTCCAACACTGGTGCATGCTGGGGCATGTGTGGATCTCTATGAGTTCGAGGCCAGCCTGGTCTACAAAGAAAGTTCTAGGACAGCCAAGGTTACACGGAGAAACCCTGTATCAAAACAAAAACAAAAACAAAAATCAAACAAACAAACAAAAAACCCCCAGGGGCTGGAGAGATGGCTCAGAGGTTAAGAACACTGACTGCTCTTCCAAAGGTCCTGAGTTCAATTCCCAGCAACCAAATGGTGGCTCACAACCTTCCGTTATGAGATCTGGTGCCCTCTTCTGGTGTTCAGATATACATGGAAGCAGAATGTTGTATACATAATAAATAAATAAAATCAATCTTTAAAAAAATTCCCTCCAAGGTGTGCATGCTGGCTTGGATGTTCGTAGATTCCAGATGCATCCAGCTCACAGCCAAGATAACCCAACAGGTGTCCCACACAGGAAAGATTTGAGGCCCCATCCTCCTCTGGCCACACAGGGCTCTCCTGTGGTGTCCCCTGCTCTGGCTCCTTATGTCTTTTTCTGGGGCTTGATTCTTTTTTTTTTTTTTCACACGTTCTTGCTGTGTAGTAGTGGCTGTCCTATGTAGACCAGGCCGGCCTCAAACTCAGAGAGATCTACCTGCCTCTTGCCTCAGCCTCCCTAGTGCTGGGATAAAGGCATTCCTCACCATGCCCAGCTCTCTCCATCTTTTTTTTTTCTTTCCAAGATGGAATTTCTCTGTGTAGCTTTGGAGCTTATCCTGGCACTCGCCCTGTAGACCAGGCTGACCTCATACTTACAGAGATTGGCCTGGTTCTGCCTTCCAAGTGCTGGGATCAAAGGCGTGTGCCACCACAGCCCAGCAGTGCCTGGGATTTTAATGGGTGCTGGGGCTCTAAACTCAGGTCCTCACAATTGGTAGCAAGCATTCTACCCATGGAGCACTCTCAGCACCCTCAGTTTTAAATTTTTATTTTGTTTTTTGTTTGTTTGTTTGCTTTTGGAATAGGGTTTCTTTGTGTAGTCCTGGCTGTCCTGGAAGTTACTCTGTAGACCAGGCTAGCCTCAAATTCAGAGATCCACCTGCTTCTGCTTCCCTAGTACTGGGATTAAAGGCATGCACCACCACTGCTCAGTAAGCTCATTTTTAAAAAACATTTTCTTTCTTTTTTTAAAGATTTATCCATTTATTATATATTCAGTGTTCTGCTTGCATGTATGTCACCAGATCTCATTGCAGATGGCTGTGAGCCACCATGTGGTTGCTGGGAATTGAACTCAGGATCTCTGGAAGAACAGCCAGTGCTCTTAATCTCTGAGCCATTTCTCCAGCCAGCAAGCTCATTTTTTGAGGTGTAAATCAGAGATCTATGCTTGTGAACTTTGCATTTTTACTATTGTGTGCGACTTTGCCATGTTCTAGGTCCCAAAAGCTTTCTATGGCCCTTTGGGGTCTTGTTTTGCAAGTAAGGAAATTGAGGCTGAGAGAGCTGCTGCCCCCACCAAGGAGCAGCTGGTTGCTGAGAGATGTGGTCAGACTTTGAGCTCAGATGGGCAAGGGCAGAGTTTCTATATTGAATTTGTTTTCTCAAGACTTTACACAGATGTCAAGGACTTTGGGGATAAAATAATAGAGGGTTTAGGGCCTAATTTAGCCCTTTTTGGGGTGGAGACTGGAGGGGGGAATTCCAGTGGTATGACATACCTGTGGGCTTAAAACTTAGGAAGTTAGTCATGTGTGGTAGCTTGGACATGTCACACTGACACTCAGGAAGCTGAGGGTTCAGGATCATGAGTTTGAATCCTGCTTAGGTTATATATCAAGATCCTGTCTTGAAAAAAAAAGGAAGGGAGAGAGAGGGAGGGGGGAGAGAGAAGAGAAGAAAAGAAAAGGCAGGCAGAGGGTTAGAGGCATCTGAAGGTAAGCCTGACCACCTGAGTTCGATTCCTGGACCTACCTGAAGGCAGGGAGACCCAACTCCTTCAGGTTGTCCTCTGACTTCCAATGCACATTGTGATAAACGTGCCCCCTGTGATAAATAAAATTTTAAATCAACGAAAAAGACCCCTCCTTCCCTCCCTCAGCTGGGAGACTCAGGCGTTTGCATGGCTGGACCCTTTTACCTGAGATGCCCCCAGCGCTGAGAGGCCTGTGGGCTCAGGGTGCACAGAGCCGTGGGCTTCACTCTAGAATATTCCTGCAAAGCCCCTTGGCTGCGGCCGCAGCGGCCAGTCTTCGAAGGAGGAAACTGAGCTCTGGAACCTTTCCTTCATCTCCTCCTGGTGGGAAAGGTTTGCTTTGCCCCAGGTTCCAGCCCTGTGCTCCTGGGACACAGGCCCAGGGACAGGGGAGGAGGAGGGAGGTTGAAGAGTAGGGGGAGGGGGTCCTCAGGGATAAGGCGGGGCTTCCTTTACACTGGGCCCACCCTTCACCCCACCCACTGAGACCAGAGTCAGGGAGGGGCTGATTGGACAGTGAGGGCAATGGCGGCTTTCCCGGGTCTCCCACTGTGCGCTCTCTTATAGAGCCCACGTGCTCCTGGGTTCAAGGGGGCGCCTCTTATTAAACCGCTTTCTGAATGTGAGGCTCCCCAGAGTGAACCCAAGATCTGGAGGTCGCAGCTGACATCCTCCTATTGCCTGTTCCCTATCTCCATCGAGTCCCTCCCCATTCTTCCTTGTCTCTGTCTGCAAGCATCCCCCCTACCCGCTTGGACCCTACGTTGAATTTGGGGGGGTACTTAATGCAAGTTTGGAGTGCAGCCAGCTTTCCCTGAGCCTGGCTTCTTGGGAGCCCCCTATATAAGGTGCCCCACCCCCACTCTCCACTGGGGCCTGTGACCAGAGAACTGAAGGAATTCCAGGCTCCAGTGTTGCCAGATGGGGGAATGACTGTCGTTCATATGGCCAGGGTTATATTTTTACCCTCCTCTGGTCCCAGACACAGAGACACAGACTGCCCCTCTCTGTCTTCAGCAGTGTGTGGCTATGCCAAGGCAAACCTCTGATCCTCTTGCCTCCACCCGAGTGCTAGAGCTCACCTCTGACCACTGAGAACCTCTCCCCATTCCATATCACACACTTTCAGTTTCAAGTTCAAGCTGAGACTGGGGCTTGCTGTCAGCTCTGACCCAGCATGCACCAGACCCTGGGCTCCATCCCCAGCTACACATTAACCAGGCACGGTTGTGCACACACGTCACCCTAGCACTAGAGGGCTGGAGGCAGAAGTTCAAGATAAACTTAGGCTAGATGGTGAGCTCTGGGATAACCTGGACTACATGAGGCCCTGCCTCAAAATGAAGATGAGATTCCTAAGGCATGTGTGAAAGGGAAGGGGACTCAGTCCTGGGACAGGAGGAGAGAGGAGCAGATGGCTCCGCCAGCAAAGAGGAGAGCTGCTAGGCCCTGAGCCACGTCCTGCAATTGTGTAACACATGGTGTCTCTGGGGAGGCTTCCTGGAAAGGAAAGCGGGTTGCAACATTTTGTTCAAAATGTTACCCTCGGGATATCCAGGCAACTGGTTAGCTATTCAGGAAGTTAAGTATCAACAATGGAGGGACTCAAACAACATCAGGAGATGCTCACTCGCCAAACAATGGCTGCCCTTCCCCAGGAACCCAATTATGACAACTTCTGGGGAATGTGACTTTATTCACAAAAGCTCTTGAGGGACTGGCGGGAGAAGGTTCAGCAAGAAAGGGAGTTCAGTTCCCAGCACCTACAGGGCTGGCTGTGACTCCAGGGGCCCCACGGTGCTCTTCTGTCACACTTAAATGGTACAGACTCACTCAGACACACATGGACAAAAAGTAAAACGGGGGTCTAGGTAGAGGTAAGCGGATCTCTGAGAGTTCAAAGCCAGCCTGATGTATACTAGTTCTAGGTTGGCCAATGTGGCATAATGCCAGAGCCTGTCTCAAAAATGATGAGAAATAAGAAGTAAAAGCTTAAAGTTTAATGCTGGGATGTAGATCTGGAGTGCTTGCTTCCAGTGGGAGGTCTTGGGTTCCACATTCCCCAGTTTGGAAGGGCGTAAGCTAGCAGTTGCTTCAAACTACAAAATCCTTGGTGGTGTATCTGATAGCATGTTCCTCTGGAGTTATTTCGGGGCCAGGTCTCTCCATCATGCGGGGACCGGGAACTGACCAAAGGTAGTTTGGCTTAAGGGCAACGGCCTCAATCAGCAGAACCTCACCCGATCAAAATTAACCCACTTTCCCACAGCCGCAATTATTTGGCTCCCTATTTTTGTCCTCCGTGTCTATTCTGTATTTTAGGGATTTTTATTTTAAGGTCCTTGTTTCCGAGACACGATCTCATTTCGTAGCTCAGTCTAGCCTGGAACTCCTAGCAGACCTCCTGCCTCAGCTTCCAGAGGGCTGGGATGACTGCCGCGAGCAAGCACGGTTAGGGCTGTTTTGTTTAATGAAGCTGAAAGTTGATTTTCAAGCAAATAAAAATGTAAGTTGAGAACAGACATCGTAACAGATGCGTTGGCCGGTATGGAACGAGGGCTAGTAGCCCAACTGCTTGGAAGGCAGAACCACCGTTGCACGGACGCCTGAGTCTCTCTCCTCTCCTCTCTCTCTCTCTCTCTCTCTCCCCCTCTGTCTGTCTGTCTGTCTGTCTGTCTGTCT